CTATGCTATGGCGTCTGCCCGGGTAATCCAGGGAAAAGAGCACGAAATGATTGTCTGCCGTTGCTTTCACGGAGGGAGGATTGACTGACGACATTTACCCATAACCACCCGTGACAAATTTTTGGCCCCATTAGGCTTTGGGATCTCAAGCCAGAATTCCAATGGGCAGGGGAGACTGCGGGAACTATGGGATAGCTACCCACAGTGCAACGCTCTGGAAGTCGACACTAGCCTCGGTACATGGATGCACACTGCTGAATTAATGTGCTTAGCGTGGCCGCATGCACTCGACTTTATACAATCGGTTGCCAAAAATCGAATTCTGTAAATTTGGAGTAATCCCGTAGTGCGGACATACCCTAAGGCTGCTTCATGTCACTCTAGTAGCACAAAGCAGCCATAATGCAGATTGACCAGCTAAAGAAGGATTGCCAACCCCACTTCAAGTAGCTTTTAGTGTAGCTGGGGAAAGGCGGTATTAGCATGCCCTGGCACTCCCCAGCTGTTGGATTGGCTCCTTGTGGGAACTGGCAGCCAGGTGTTAAGTGAGAGCAACCCTAAGGCTGTCCACACATATGTTGAGGACCAGGTTGGTGCTTGGCCTGTCCCAGGATTGGGGGTGTAAAGGACCTGTCTCCCATAGGACTGTGCATCTTGGGTATAGCCCAGGATGGGACCATGGTCTGGTCACAATGCTTTTTCTCTCTCTTCCAGGCAACTTGCAGGGAACCCTTGACATACATTTACAAAGTATCATTGGTTGGATTCTGCCTTGCTGTGTACATTGAGGATTGGCAATACTGGCATTACAGAAGCTGCATGTGGAGCTGGCACAGAAAGTTAAAGAAAGAAGGGAAAATGTTTCTGACCTGTTAAGTTTTTCCTCAGGGTCCCCTATACGTCATAAAGCCCGTTTTTTCAGATTAGCAGTTTTGATTTCAGGCAGGGAGTGAGTTCTATTTTGTAGACAATTTTTCCTGAATTGCTTTTGGCATTTCAACTGAGCCAGCCTGAGAAATATAAAGGGCTTGTGTCATAAAATTAAAAGGGCCTGTTGCCATCTTCTGGGATGGAGGAATTATGCCCAAGCATGTGGACTAATATAGGAAATCTCAAAACATTCAACGAGTGTGGAAATGGCATATGTGCACACACAATTCATTGTAGGTGAATAGAAGGATTCAAGTACTGTAAAAGGAATTCATGAGGTGGTAAGATTAACTTTTTAGGTTCTTTTCTGATTTGAAGACTGCACCCCATAACTTCATACTGTCCATTACAGTAGCTCTCTTTGAGTCTCAAATGAAACATGCTTTTGTGCAACTGTCAGAATATTTTGATTTGTTAGACTAGATTATACTTCAACATGAGTGTGAACATCACTGCATTCAATTTATCAATGTCATGGGAAGCATTAGATACACAGTGGCCCAGAGCCCCAAGAAATATGGGCACCTACCTCCCATTGAAATCAGTGTGAGGTAGGTGCATAAATAGTAGAGATAGAAAGGGTAATGAAACTGACTGACACCATGGAAAAATTAGCACTAATATTTCAGGGAGAGGTGACAGGATAGCAATATATAACAATAGTGGCACCCGTGTCCTATTTCTTACAATGCTAGAGCTGGGCCACACCCAGTGAAATTGTCAATAATTTAAAAAGGGGTACACAGAATGCATAATTAATTTATGGTACTGCTACCAGCTATTATTGAGGCCATGAGCTAAGCAAGATTCAAAAGGTTAGACACTGCTAAACAGCATCATCCACAGTTCTATTTTCAATGGCAAAGCTTTAGAGGGAATGTAAATCCTCCTGCATAAACCACCCACTACCTGTCTCATGTTAGGTGGAAACTTTGCCTCAGTTGGCACATTATTCCATGATTGTCCATTTTTCTTAGAGCACTTTCAGCTGGGCTGTGGGAGGAGGTAGACCTTTGCTTTGAGCTGCTATAGAACTACCTCCTACATTCTATTTTGTAAATGCTGTTTCGCCTCACGCTACTCGCTCTCAAGGGGGAGATGAATATGGCTTGGTCCAAGGGCAACAAACCACTAAGGCCTGTTGTGGCTAGCTTTCAAAAAAAGATGGGTGAAGAGTAAGAATGAAGCCTTCCTTTGAGAAAAAAAAAACCTAGCTACATGAATCCACCTTATGCTTCCATCTGGCACTGATGCCTGGACTTGGGGGGTCTGAATAAGTAATTTCTGAAAACTAGGGGAAACAGGCCATGATCACTGTGCATCTACCTTTCACTGCTGTTCAGGCCAGTCTAGAAATTGTCAAATTAAATTCTGCTGCTGGTGGCATGGCCAGGATAAAGAGGTGTGCTTAATAGAAATGACCATGCTGGGGCTCAGATTTACTTGTGGCAGGGGTGTACTACAGAGCTGTGGGCCTGCTCCTAAACAGCCTGTCCTCATCTATGGATTAGTCATCCATTGTGTGCCTACTGAACAGGGCCTAGAAGAAGAGGAGACTTTGGCCCAGGCATCAATTTGCTCCTTGAGAGTTTGATTGAGTCATATGCATTCCTTGCATATTGCTTAATGTGAAATGGTCAGATGAGCCCAGTGGAACTGTCTCAGCAATATGCCCCCACTCAGTGTAGAAGCCTAGCTCCTGTTGTTGGAGCTTCCCAATCAAGAGCCAGGGAGCAGGTGTTGGCATGGGCTAGCCTTGATGTTAAGCACACTTGACTAGCTGTGGTTCAGTCTGCAACTTCTTGACATTTTATTTTTGAACTACAGCAGTCACTAGGAAAGAATAGTGATAGTATTAAAAAACCACTAGTGAGGGGCTTTGTATGCCTCCTTAAAAAAAATCCAAATCATGAGTCCCCTCTGCTGGCTTCACCCCAGCAGTTAATAACTAAACCTTGGTCTGAAAGCTGGCCTGACATCAAAGTTTCCCCTAGGGCTGGTGTGTGTGGTTTCAGTTTGCGTACAAGTCAGCTTGGAAGGCCCAGTGTAGAACCAGCACTTAGTGTTAAAAGGTGCAGTTCTGTGTTGAAAACACCTTGCTTTGTTAACAAACATGCTGAGAGCCCCTCCTGGTGTTACTGTTCCTTATGCAGGGGGCTCAGCAAACAGACCATTTTCCAATAAGAAAAAGGACAAAGAAGCATTAGTACAGAGACTTCTTTTCCAGCTGTGTGGCTGCTGGATCTTGCCCACAAACTCATTGATTGGGGGGGGGGGGGGGGGGGGAAAGAGGAGAAAGGAGAAGAGGTTATGAAGGAATTTTCCCCCAGGACAGAGTATTAGAACTTCTTTGGCAGGGTGGGGCATAGGTCATGTGCTGGTTTGAACTAGTGTAAATGGTGGATTCCCTGTCATGTGACATCTTTAAATCAGGAGTTGAGGACTTCAGTAACTCAATCAGCCGTTAAGGGGTCTAATACAGGAATAGGTGGGTGATGTTCTGTGGCCTGCGATGAGCAGGTGGTCACACTAGATGAACTAAGCACTTGGCTACTCATGGGTTACTGGAAGCTAGAAAACAGCCATGTGCCCATGGACTTGAAGAAATGGCTTTAATCACACCCAGTGCTTTCACACAGCAGGAATGGGAGCCACTTTACCATGGCAACCCCACATGCTAAAGTAAGAGACAACAGTAGTGTGTAATAATGACCACTAATATTTTCAGTCTATGTAGAGAGACTGATGAAAAGTCCTTGATAAGATGTGATTGAGTGATGCCCTTTTAAGATTTTGTCAGTAGCACCAGAGGGCATTCATGTTTTTGGATACATGCACAAACAACATGCCTATCTTCTCTATACTTTTAGAAAGTTCCAGCATTAATGCTTGTTACCTACTTATGCATTCTACACACCTAGCCCTCCTCCAGACTACATACATTAACTGCCTCATCATCTTCATTTATTATTGGGAGGGGTTGTTTGAAAGGCTTACCTTCCCACTTGGACAGTTCAAGCCTAGGCTGTTTCTATTAACCCATTATCTGTTTTTCAAGCATTAGAACAAGACTGTAGTTGTCTCGCAGACATGTTTTAAGAGACCGCTAACAGTGAATTGTTTGAACTTTAAGTGCTAGTTTGTGCAAGTAGCTACACACACACACACACACACACACACACACACACACACACACACACTTTAACTTTGACTAGAGTAAATACTTTAAAAACAAATTCCAGGACAGTAACACTGTGCATAGGTTAGGTTTATGTGCAAAGACTGGGATCAATATGGGCTTTAGCTTGGATGATAAATTAAACTCCTCTTGTTTCCTCTCTCCTGAGCCCACCCCCAATTGCCAGGAGATGGTCTCTTCCCCCACAAAAAAGGATACAGTTCAGAAGGGAAGACTACCATGCCTGCATCAGGTCTTAAGTGTTTTGAGTTACTTTACTTGGAGACAAGCATCTTCCTGCCAATCAGTGTAGATCTTTCAATCACCTTTAAAAATGTAAGTGAGAAGCTGAGTTTATTTGGATGTATAAAGGAAGCCTTGATGGGGTTCCCCCCACCCTGGAGGGTGGGGAGAGGGGTATTTACTCACTTTTACTTTAGGGAAAGATGGTCCTTTGTGCTCCTTTTTTTTTTTTTTGCTCAGAGAGTTTGGAAAGGGGGCTGGTCAGCCCACAGTTGGGGTGGACAGAGGTGCTAATGTATCCCACTAGTGGGGTGGGTTGTGTCCCTTTTGGTGCCTGAGCCTGGAGGCTATCAGTCTAACAGCCTTCACCGACAGCCTGGCTCTTGAGCTCAAGCTGTGGAGACCTAGGCCACCCCTACTGGCATACAGAGGACAATTCATACCCCTTTCAGGCTCTCCTCCCTCCCCCAGTCACAAGGGCTAGAAGCTTTTTAGGTTAAGCAGAAACTGGTGTAAACACATGACTCCAGATGCTGGGGAGCTAGGTCCAAGTGCCTTAATCCAGCACTGGTCTCAAGCTCTTTGTACTGGTGAGTTAGGGTAAGCAGTTTTTAACCTGATAATTTAAAGACAGGCTAAACAAACAAAGTCACAATATGCAAAGCTTTATTGAAGTGGAATGACAGTGCTAATAGAGTGTTCATTAACATGTGGTGCACAAGAAAAATAGAGAAATATGTAGTGCTTTAGTATTTGGTAAAAGCTCGATCTAAGCAATATTATAATACACTAGTGTCAGTTTCACAGTAACTAGTAACACTTAAGCTGCGCCTCGTTGCAGAGAAGGCGTCTCGGTGAATCATGATCAGTCTTGGATTTTACTCCTTCACTGAGCATGAACAAGGGCACCTGCTCCCTGGCCATATCCAAATCCTTTGGGGCCAAAGTTCTTTGCATAGCAGCCTGAAAGGAAGAAAAAAAAGCCAATGTTTTCAGAAAGACATGTTAGGATGCCTGCAAGTTACTGGACTTTATTGCTCAGGACTGCTCAGCAGTCTGCTTGCTCCAAAGCAACATTCATGGAAGGATGCTGGAGAATAGAGCATTTAGAGCCATTTAACTATGCCTCAAACAGAACATCACTAAGTAATATTGCACAGTTGCAGAACAATTTTGAGCAATACTGCAGTGCTAAGTGTCCCAACCCTGTCAAAATGAAGGAATCCTTATCAGATGTCAGCACAGGATTCCCACCCCAGAGTGACTCCAGATCTGAACTGAACATCTCTGGTCTTTAGAGAGCACATTACTCTGAACTGCCTACAGTTCGGGTTCATGCATGTTTCTTCATCTTACCTTTACAATAAATTTCACCTTCTTTTTCAGTCAGGGTTGTGGATTCTAGACTCTTCCCACACTTAGCACATCGGAAACAGTTTTTGTGCCAAGGCTAAGAGAAGCAAAGAGTACAAGTCATTGTATTTACTAGACACATTAGGTACAAGAGTAGCATTTAAATAGCAATAGGTACAGACTCCTGTAGCCTAAAGCAGACAAGGATCCTACTCTAGGAGTTTTGGGTTTCTCACTTAAATAATGAAATGACATGATTGGTGATAGATACCAGCTCTTTAACAGATTGTTTCAGATGCAAGTTAGCAAAGAAATATTATGCTTTAGGTAAAACACTAAATACATCTAGGTTTTGCCAGAATCTAACATGACTGCAGCCCCAGCCACATGCATTTGTCTTTAAAATCCTCCCTCACCTCTATCTTGGTTTAAGTGACACTGAACTGGTTTGATTAAATGGTGTTTTCCATGCTGAGAAGCTGCTATACTAAGGGAATTTTGCATCACAATAATTGGCCTACCTGACTTTTTCTGGCTAAATATGCTCAGAACAGTTTTGTTTTTAGCCAGCCCTTGTTTTGACTGTGTCTCCCCCACCCTATTTAGCAAAGAACTTGATCAAAATCCTACTTTACCTTTCCAGCTCCTATTACTTTCTCAGCAGCATAAACAGAATCACCACATCTGGAGCATTTCTCTGCACCTCCAAATTTCTGAGCAAACTTTGAAGTATTTGGACTTGTTGTAGGTCGGTGAGGAGATGGTGTGCTAGAAGGAACAGGTATATAGTAGGTCAGTCTTGTGCTCCTATTTACCCTCTAAAACAGTGGTCCCCAAGCTTTTCATGTCACACCCCCCCTTACCCCTGTCCGCACCCCTTCTCCCTTGAGCCACAGTCGGGAACCATGGCCGGGAGTGTGGCCACAGCTCCTGGGGAGGGGAGGGGTGGACAGGGGTAAGGAGGCCAAGGCTGTGGCCAGAGCTGTGGTTGGGGCTAGGAGCCAAGGGCAGAACGGGGCTGGGTGGCCCTCCCTTCCAGCCCCCTGCCATGTCCCCTGAATGTTCCTCCATGCCCCCTTATGAGGGCACACTACTCTAAAAGGAGGAGAACAGGGAGATATCTGAATACGTGCTACAAATTAAATACAAATAATTATTTGTATTTAGTTAACCTAGGTTTTGCCAGAATCCATAATGACTGCAGCCCCGGTCACATGCATTGGTCTTTAAAATCCACCCTCACTTTTTTTTTTTTTTTTTAAATTAAGACACTGAACTGGTTTGATTAATGGTGTTTTCCCATGCTGAGAAGCTGCTATTTTAAGGGAATTTTGCATCATCATAATTGGCCTACCTGACCCTTGTATTTAGTTAATGACTGCATGATGTTAAGTTTCCTCCATGTCATAATACTTCCCAGTTATCCAGAAGGTGTAAACACTGCAAAGTAGTATCTAATACTGAATACTGACTTGATGAGCCATCGCCCAAGTCAGTATGCCAGTTTCTAAGTTAAATTTGGAGATACTGACTGAACAACCTCATGAGAATTTACATCTCAACTGTTAAAATCTAGAAGCTGGAATTTTAGAAAGATTGAGCTACTAACAGTTGAACTTTAACGGAACTAGATGTCCAAGTTAAGCCTTTCATGAAGTCATCAGAAGTGTGTACTAGTTATGGCATTTGCAGTTTAGATAGCAAACTGCAACTCTGAGCAGGTTTCGATACATCTTTAAGTACTTTTACCTGGCCTGCTGTAAGAACCAATTCTATCACACTTTTGCTACTAGCTAGCCCACTAGTTGCTATATCCGAGACTGAAATGCACTTTAATTTAGACAGAGCAGGATTAATTTTTCCATAGAGACATTAAATCTCTATACAACCTCAAATCCTCCTTTATTTTAATTCATAACTAGAACACAGGCTCATACACTAAGCTTTGACAAGGTTATCAGCCAGTAAGTAGGATTTGAATACTAAACAAGCCATGTTAGTAATCTTTACACTTGCATAAAGCCAGTAACCAGCACAATATAATTTTTAATCATCCAGAGAGATTAAAAGCTTGATCCTGAAGTCCTTGCCTACAGGTAACTCCCACTGATATCAGTGGAAGTTGCGTGCAGCAGGACTGCAGGAACAGGCATCATGGGTTCAGTGCACCTCTGACCTGCACAGTGTCTCTCTACTTCAATATTCTGCTCTGGGATACGCTGGCATTTTGGTGTGTTTAGAACACAGCCACATTATACATCTGTAAGAGCATTTGGCCTTTAACTCCTGCATGAAGAACCTTTGGCACAACATGAAGATCACATGCCAACTGTACATCTTGCTGTGAGATATAGTGAAGAGTTGAACTTACTTGTCATGCTTGATGCCCAGTCTCTCGCCTCTGTCCATGTTGAGCGTGCCTGCTCCTTGGCCATACCCATAGCCTTTAGGTCCATACTTTTTTCCATAGCAGGACTTGCAGTAAACCTCATCGTCATGAATTGCTACAGTTGTGCTGTCTAAGTTTTTCCGACAAACCACTGGAAAAAAAAAGTTTTAAATTGTCAGAAGGGGCCATTTTCGACCCTAGCACATGAAGTAAACCAAAAAGTGTCAAATGCCAGATGTCACAGGTTCCCCATCCACAGTTCTTCCTAATGAACTGTGGAACTGCTGAAAATTAGAAGAGGCAGCTTCTCTTTTGAATTGGTGAATTATGTTTAGTTCATAAATAGGCTCTATTCCCTCCCACCCTCATGGTGCTTATATTTAAAGAATGGAAATTTGCTGTAGTTTGATTAATGAGGTTACACAGAAAACCAGATACTAAAGTCAGCAATTTCCTCTCTTGCTTCAAGTTACATGGAAACAAGCATCTATATCAGTGCAGAAGCATTTACCTGGCTGACCGTTCACAGCCCTCTGTTCACATAGACAAACTGCTTCCCCACAGCTTTTGTAATGCTATTATAGATCCTGGGGTTCTGTTTACTTTTTATGGATACCAGACTAGAACTGTAAACCCAGGAACCAGATTGCTTTCAGTAGCCTATGATGTAATTATTGGGTATCTTTCTATTGCAAATGGCTGATCCTCCTTTTCCAAGGAATGCAGAGCTTCAGGAAGAATGAAAGCAGGTGTGAACAACAACATTTTTAGCAGGCAAGAAAGAATTGGATGTATTATGGAGATTGATCGGAGGACAGAGTTAAGAGACTTGCCCAAGGTCACATCAGTAAGGAATACAGCTATTTCTGCTTCCCTCTTCTAAACACTGCTCTTGTAACTACGTTTAGTGCCCTTTCTTCAGTCATAGCATTTTGATGTCTGTACGGAATACAGGTTGGACTGAAAGCCCAACTACAACCCAGTTCTCTAAGACTTAGCTTAAAAAAAAGCAGTAAGCTTCAAAATACAGAGAAACCTTTGTTTATTGCATTGATTCAGTAGACCAGCAGTTCTCAAACTGTGGGTTGGGACCCCAAGGCGAGTCACAACACTGTTTTAATGGGGTTGCCTGGGCTGGCGTTAGATTTGCCGAGGCCCATGGCCAAAGCCTGAGCCTCACCACCCAAGGCCAATGCCTGAGGGCTTCAGCCCTGGGCAACCGGGCTCAGGTTACAGGCCCCCCTAGGGTGGTGGGACTCAGGCTTCAGTCCACCCTCCTGGGGTCATGTAGTAATTTTTGTTGTCAGAAGGGGGTAAAATGAAGTTTGAGAACCCCTGCAGTAGACAGTTGATACATGGCATTTTAGAATAATTAAGAGCAATTAATCAGTTTTAAAATACACTAAGTCTTTATGTTTTAAGCTCAGCAAAACTAAACATGACCTTGGTTTAGTATGTTTCACCGAGTGAAGCCAACCAACTGTCTGACTGCATGTTCCAAGTTTCTAATAGGAGAAACTTCTATAAAATCTGAACTTAAGCCAACTGAGCCACAGCCAAATAATTTGTTATAATTGCTGTAGAGTACCAGGAAAAGGAACATAAACACACCTATATCCCATCATCACACATAGATGGGATGTTGCATCTATTAGTGGCAAGCTAGTTTTGAAAGTCTTCCCATTTGTAACTGTAGTTTCCTATAAACCAAGGCTGAACCCTAATTCTGGTCCCCAGAGAGTCGAGGCCAGAAAGCTGGGCAAAGTGACACTGCATACTTGCAATAAGTTGAAGTACTTTGACTTTGTTAGACAGGCAGTTGGTGAATTTATAAGATTACCTTTTTTCCAACTAATCAACAATCTTTACAGCAGAAAAAGCTAAATTTGATGCCTGAATGAGTTGGTTAGACTGAAAAATAGTGACTTGGACTCTACTCATCTGAAATAACCCACAGCCTCCTATGCCAAGGAGGGCTAGGATTTTGGCTCTGCTACATGTATTAGTTAGAAATTCAGCCAAACTACTGATGCTTTAATATCCTACACAATCTACATGGACCTGGGTGAAAGAGGGAAGGGGGAGAGGTTCATTTAATTATTCCTTCAGCCCTCCATCTACTTTCCAACAGATTCAGAAGCTTGGCTCTACAAAACTGTATCTAAACAAATCCAGCCTTCTTGCTGTGCCGTTACCTATTGGACAGAATTCAAATGTAGGTTTCACTCCAAAACATGTTCCATGCCTTTTACAGACATAAGGTTGTGAAGAAGAGATCTAGGCTCAGTTTAACAAGTCTCTTTATGACCTCTCCCACACCAGAGGAGAGGGACACTCTTTCTCAGTGGTTCTGGATGAGCTCTCCCTCTGACACGGAGGTCCTTATGAGGTGTAAGGGAAAGGGTGGCAAGTTAATCTAAGTGACAGCATTCATAGCATTCCTGAGGGCCCCCCAAAATTGGGGCACTCTGGCAACATGCACTGCCATTCAGTTTCCCAAGTGCCAACTCAGTCTTTATTATGTAACCCCTATGGATACGTTTGTAGAAGAGCATCTTGCTCGGATAATGTTCAGTCTGACATGCAATAGAATCACTGAAGAGAGTTGGCAGACAAAAAAAAAAAAGCAGTGTGTGAGGAATACTTACTGCAGAGAAAGCAGCATCTGTGGAAACTCCTCCCATCACACTGAACCTCTTCAGCATGGTAGACTGTTCGTCCACAGGCACTGCACTTGTTACCTCCTCCCCAGTTCGGCATCCCAACTCTGTGGAAGATACACCAGCAGTTAGAGACAGAGCAGCAAGATTAAGATTGTTCACTGAATTGTTCTCAGAGTCAATACAAAAGAGTCTGAGCTATGAACTGTAGTCATTTAACACAATGCTGCCGGTCTGCCAGATTTTTGGCTATTTTGAGCCTAGTTTAATAAAGGAAGTGTCTATAGTAGTCAGATTGTGAGTACTAAACACATTCTACATCCCAGATAGTACTCATAGGGTCAAATAGCCTTTATGGGCTTATCAGTAATGCTGCAGGAGCCTCCAAGTAAGCTTAGGGAACAAATCTTTAAACACTTAAGTTCCCACTGTTGTATGCAATATTGCTTGGTGCATTCAACAGAAGACCTGGAAACAGAAGATACTGCCTCCCCAAAACCACGTTTTACATTCCCTGTTCAGGATTTTGAAAGTTACATGAATTGGATATGCACAAAGTTGCATGCATAATGGCTTTACTGTACCTTGAATGAACATCCTCCCAGATAGATGTAATTTCAGTTTCTATGCTTCATTAATCCTGTTTCTCTTCTGATGGAAGCCAACCAATTGTGCCAACAAAGGGATTTTGTTTTTCTGCAGAGTCTATGCCTTGGAAAATGGCATAAGCCATAAGGTTTGCCTCACTGGAGAGCAATTCGCTATGCTAAGAGTTGTTTTTTTCTGAACTAGTGTCTGAAATTTAGTGGTTAATGGGGATTATTTCTGAGGCATCCTCATGCTAGTGACAAAAACCTCACCTTTACCAGGCAGGTATGTTCTGTGAGCCCAAATATTCAAAGTAGAATTTTGTGAAAGAAAATGGCTGACAACCACAAGCATGTAGTATTATTTCTTGTCACGTACTAAGCTGTAGTAAATTTTAGGAACATCATTATTGCACTTACTGGTTTGATACTTAAATATTTGCTAGTGGAGAGACTCCACCCCCTACAGCCATAAAAAGAAAGCTGGTGCTGCTACGATGGCACTTCTACAAATGCCAAAAGCTAACTGCTGAAAAAATTTCCAATTTAAGCAGAAGAGCACTACAGTTAAGGTAGATACTGGGAGGCCCTTGGGACAACTGGATTTTGTTTCTCAAATGAAACTGTTCATTACTTGTAATAAAGACATTGTTAGTTCTCTCACTGCAACAGCACTCCTCTATAAAGCAGATTTAAAGTCAGGATTTTAATGAGAAAATAATCTCAGAGTTCAGCTGCTCGTTTCCTCATGCCCACTCCCCCTACATTTTTCTATTTGTTGGCTCTTGTTCCAAGTTAGATTGTGAACTCTTTGGGGCAGGGGCCATGACTGTATGTTGAACAACACAGGGGAGGCCCAGTTAGTTTTTGTAATGCAGAGCCAGAATTCCACTGATGTCGTAGTTTTAAGACAAGGATTTCATCTATGTGTAAATATTGCAGCACCAGTATGGTATTGATATAGGGAAAGTTTACAGGGCCACAAGGCCTGCCTAACAGCCCTTGGAGCCTTTGAAAAGTTCTCCTACACTAATCAGAGATAGACTGGGGGGGGGGGGGGGGCAGGAGGAAGTGGAGGCTTCCCTGGCACAGCTCAGCCTCCCTTGCTACCTCCAATTACTGAAAAGGCAGACCTGTCCCTGATCGGTGCTTTGGACTCCATCTTATTAGTCAGAGGTTGATAGGCATGACATCTGAAGCTCCATCTCCCCTCTAACTGCTGGAAGCAGGACTCACACACCTACCCATCCAGGACCTTCTGTTCAGAGAGGATGTGAAGAAAGAAGAGTGGAGAAGTATTCCTCCCCCACCCCACTTTCAGACCTGTCTTTGCTGTTCCTAGTTGCTACAGCCCTTTGGGGAAAACAAGTAGTCAGTATGACTCTTGACCATGGGCAGCGGGTATAATAGGCCAGGGGAGGCTGCAGCTGGCCCTCCCTAGGCTGCAGAGAGATTACTGATGAACCCAGGATACTGAGTGGCAAGTACCAGCTCCTCAGCCACCCCAGAACCTGCATGGGACATATGAAAAGCTTCTTCCGATGAGAGTGAGACCCCTGATTGGGGTCTGGGGAAGGGAGGCACGGTGCAGCTGCAGCTGGCCCGGGGCTCCTCCGGTCAAGGGGAGAGCACTTGGGCCTCCAGCCAGCCCAGGGCACCTCCAGCCAAAGGGGGGAGTGCATCCTCCAGGTGGGAGGGTTTGTGGCTCTGGCCGCAGGGGCTAGCCTGCCAAAAGGGGGACTCCACCCACTGCCCATGCTCTTGATAGTTTCACTGCTGTCTGCAGGGTTTTGAATTGGAGTTGTAAGACTGACTAGTATTTTAATTGGTTTGCCAAGCTGCAAAATGCAATAAGCAGCAGAGGAACTGCTGCTGCTGTCTGCCTACAGACTCAAAGAAAAAACGCTCCACTGGTTTATGTTCAGTTTACATTTGAAAAGGTTCTGAAAAGACCTTAACAGCTAAAATTTTAAAAGAAAGTTAATTTCTGTAGAAAGAGAACCATGCATACACCATGACCAACTCCTACCTCAGCAGATCTGTAGGGTTTCTTCCTGAGCGCCACAGTTGGCACTATGGGGTCTAAAGAGAAGCTAGGCTAAGCACCATTCATTTAGTCTTTTATATTCTTCCTTTCCCCAGGCACTTGTTTTACAAGCCAGACAGGGTTGCCAACTTTCTAATTGCACAAAACCAAATACCCCTGCCCCACCCTTTCTCCAAGGACCTGCCCCTGCTCCCTCCATCCCCTGCTCTCCCCCACCCTCCACTCACTTTCACCAGGCTGGGGCAAGGGGTTGGGGTGCGGGAGGGAGGTGAGGACTCTGGCTGGGAGTGTAGGCTCTGGGGTGGGGTAGGGGAGGAGGGGTTTGGGGTCAAGGGGCTCTGGGCTGGGGCAGAGGAGAGGGTTTGGGGTGCATGGTCCCAGTAGCACTTACTGCAGCTCCCAGGAAGCTGCCACCATGTCCCTGCATACATGGATGGCCAGAGAGGCTCCATGCGCTGTCCTTGCATCTGCAGGTGCCGCCCCAGCAGCTCTATTAGCCAATGGGAGCTGTGGAGCTAGCCCACAGGGCGGGGGCAGTTCTTGGAGCCTCCCATGTGTGTAGGTGCTGCAGGGACCTGGCAGCCGCTCCCGGGAAGCGCATGGAGCTAGGGAGCCCTGCCTTAGTCCTAGGCCCCTACTGCACCGCCAACTGGACTTTTAACGGCCCAGTTGGCAGTGCCAACTGGAGCCGCCAGGATCCCTTTTCGACCAGCTGTTCTGGTCGAAAACTAGACACGTGGCAACCCTAAAGTCAGAGCAACACTCCTCCTACTTACAAGATCTTCCCCTTTGCCATCTCTTTGCTTCCAACACCATCCTTAACCTTCAGACTTGAGCTGAGCAGCTCATTATTTTCCCCATTGTGCAGCCCTAATTCAAAATTAGGAGCTCTGTTCAAGTAGCTCCACCTGCCTTAGAGTTAAATTGAGCTTCAGATACCTGTGGAGGAGTGGCATGGTGTGTCCTACAAAGGAATGCTTCTGAGTCACTATCTTTGGGAAACCGTACTGTATTAAGCATATGAATGGCTTATGCCTCTTTGTAGGCCAAGGACTGTATCCACTCCATGGGGCCTAGGTTACCACAGCTCCTCGAGGAACTGAAAACAATGGGGGGGGGGGGGGAGAAGAGATGATTAAGGCAAAGCACTGAGGTTATAAACACCTCCAGAGAAGTACCACCTGCTTGGGAGGCTCTCAAACCAGATTCTCCAGAGACCAACAGACCAAGGATTTTGGAATAAATGGACTGACCTTAAACTGACTTGGGGCCTTCATTCTGGTTCCTGATCTAGAGACCGATCAGAACTTTAGCCACAGGGGAAACCCAGCAGTGGGATTTGAATGGCTGACACCTACCAGAACCCCAGACTGGCATTGGGGTGACCTTTGGTGTTCTTTTATTGTTATTCTAGGCTGTCTCCAACGTTTTTCCCTTAAGAGTAAACGTGCTTGCTTAGAAGGAGCTGTGTGGTAACTTATCACGACTAGCAATACTGGTCACAGCCCTTGCAGAGAAAGCCAAGTGTAGGCACTGGCCTTTAGGCAGACTGGCTTGCTGGGGATATCATAGTGTAGATCAGGGAGCTGTAAAGCCTGAAAAAAATCCAGTCAGAAGCAAGTGAGATGCAGGTCTCTGCCCAGGCGAGGGAAGGGCTGGGAGCTGGAAACCTTTAAGTGGGTGCCCTTGGGGGAATATCAGAGTGGGAAATACAGGTGCCCTTGTACTGAAACAGTGACAGCATGCCCTACAAAAGGAATGTTGCCAAGTAACTGCTAAGAGACCTTTGCTCAATGGGGGGGGGGGGGGGGGGGAAGAACAGCCACTAGTGGAATGTGGGAAAACAAGATTAACTGATTAACTCAAATTGGGACATCTTAAGCGAATTCTTAAGCAGAGGTTTACGGAACTGTTCTGTTTAATACAGAAGTGGCTTAGTAGCTGTTCCATTTATGGTGGGGACATTAATTTAATTACTGAAATATTTCTTTGTGCAACCTTTCCAAGAGCTTAGCACTGTTGCTTCTCAATGGGTTGGCAATAATGAATACTCTGAGCAGGGTAGTAAGATTTGTTTTATGACACCACTATTTGTCATTCTTGGCCTCACTGTAGAGTCTAAAAATTAAGATTCCATTTCTTTTATTCAAGTGTTTGGCTGTGCTACCACACAGCAGCTGACATCAATCATGGCAAACAGGGTCCTCTGAAAGAGGGATACAGGCTGCATTCCTCTTCCAAACCCTTGTACATTAACTGCAGGATGGAGAAGAGATTCCTTCCCGCTTTTTCTATGTGTCTCAGAGCATGCCAAGTTGAAATTCTATTAAATAAGCTTCTTTCTTGGGCCTCACAGGGCTTTGGCACTGTTACAAGGCACTGACCTGCCTTTTGTTTTTGATTTTCACATTTGAATCTCTCCCTATATACACATACACGTACTTTAATTGCATCTTCTTTCTTACAAGAATATTTAAGAAGGGCAGCCCCAGTGATGAGGTACAGGGACTGAGACCCAGGTTCACAGCTCAGTCACAACCTTCCTGGGAGAGTCAATTAATCTACCCTGGGTCTCTGCTCCCCATTTGTAAAACAGGGAAAGCACTGCCATACCCCAGAGAAGCACGGAGAGGATAAAATCCATTATGAATTACAGGATGCAGATACTACTGTGATAAAGGCCATGCAAGTACCTAGACAGAATTTAAAGGCAGTCAGAATTTGATGTGCTTAAGGCTTTTGATTTTCAAACATCAACAAAGGTTAGTGCTTCAAGAAGGTGGGTGTCCCTGAGGAAACCACGGCCAACTGTCCTCCCCTTTAAAATTCCCATAGGAGCTTCTACAGCAGCAATAGCAGTATTCCTTGAGCTATCAGCACAAGTCATCCCCAAGCAGTCAAGATTAGAAAACAGACTTCAGTGAGAAGCAGTCTGTTAATCTGTTCCACATACAGCACCTCAGAGTGGTCAGATAGCTAGAGAACACTATAGTAGTCTGCCCTAAAGATCAATTCTTTCCACTTAAAAGCTAGATAGCAGGTGTTCTGTCTACATTATTCCAACATGAGCTATGCTACACATTAGAGCCCCACAGGCAGATTAATAACATTCTGATTTCAGTTCTCAGAAGGGTAGTGAGGATGCTGTAGCTCATGAAAGCTGCTTGCAGAACTTGATAAGCCTTCTGCTAGTTCAGGCAGGCCTTTAATGAATGTAAGAGCCATTGACGTGGTACTAAGTTTTCAAGATGTTTGTACCAATGGTACCCTAGAATTCTGAACCATTTTGTTTTTAATGAGTTCTTGACAGCCACCCTCCTCTCCAGAGGAGCGTACACCTGGACTTCCAGTATGCGCCTGCCAAGAGGTACTTAATTCTATCCCCTGCACCCCTTCTCAGAGCGGTGCTCTTATTTACTCCACATTGAAAGCCACGACTATACTACCCCCCCTCCCATTCCCCAGTTCGGTGCCGTTCACTGACAGGAATATAGGGTTAAGTCAGCAGTCACTAGTATTTAGGCAATTTTTTGAAAAATAAACAATTCAAGTGTTTGAGATGTTTCATACTACATTAAGAAACACCTTATCTTAAAGGGATTTGCTTGCCCTTGCTCAGTGATTGGTCTAGGAACTCACATTTCATACTATGTTAAGTAAAGCATTTGTCTGAGGATTGGGCAAAAATTCTGTAGGCAGCTGACCTTAAAGCTTTGATTCTTATTGAAGATTGGACTCGTGTTTTTTGCATTTAAACATGCACAGTGTGTAAAGTCACAAGTAGGACATCTTGCCTAAGGGGCAGTTCAGAAAAGAAGCCAACTTTAACCCTTCAGAAGTTTTAGCCATGACCACAGAGGACTCAATGTACTAGTGAAGGACACAAGAGCCAAAATTGATCAAGTTATTTTACCTAGCATGGTGAATAGGCAATATGCTAAACAGCAGCTTGTGGGGAAAGTGCTAAGCCACACTCCCATGGAATGCAAAGGGATCAAGGCAGTGAGGATGCCTCAAGAACACCTAGAGGCAGCTACTGTGCCCTGCAATTAGGTGCCCAACCCTGTTTGCTACCAAAAGAAGAGATGCGTACACACAATACGAGGTGCATGGGTAGAGCTATGCCTTCCAGGCAGCTCCCCATCCAGAAGTCTTCTACATTAGCTACACATTAAAAATGATACCTGGGTTTGAGTTTCCACTGGATGCAATCAAAAAAGACTAGAGTTTTGTAAGAGCCAGCCAGGAGCAGAAAAGCTATAAAATTAAAGCAACAGGAACCTAAAGAGTGGGACTACTCCCATGCACATAATATTTTACATAGAGCTGTATAATGTTCCCATAGCTGAACAGTTCATGACCACGTTGTTTTCACAAGCTAACTGCAAACAACTGTTTCTGGGTTTTGGAGTCCCGGCCGATGGGAAAATGCAACATTTCTATACTTAATTTCTCCTGCTCAGCTGTGCCCCCCAAACTGACACTTTCCCTTTTCCACTTCAATATATTTGTCCCACTTCCACAACTAGTTGGGTCTAACAAGTATGCAGACACTAGCATTATCACTACAACACTTCCATACAAGAGCATGCACTAGTACAATCTCCCCATGGCACATAAGAGCCCAGTGAGCCACCTTTGATACTAAACAACCAAACAAAAAAAACCCCACAAACACATACTACTGATTGGAGAGGTCACGGGGCGGTGAGCTGTTTGGAATCCTGTTTGGAAAAGCATGGCAAAACTAGGATGCTCTGAGCCAATGGAGATTCCCCCCCCATGCCCTCAACACAAGAGGACTGTTGCTTTGCATTCCACTGGATGAAAGAACTGTCTCCTGCAGAAGCCCTGCAAGTTTGTTTACTGAGCACAAGGAGCTGGTTCAACCATTCAGTCATGCAACCTGACAAAATAGCAAGAGTCCTCACCCCAACTATCCAATCTGCACAAAGTTGCCTCAAAAAAACCTCACCTTAGAGTCTGGAAAATGTTGCACTACTTTTAGACACTCCCCCCTTCCCCATGCAGTTTTTTTTTAAATAAACAAAAACAAACTCTATGATGCTTTCATAAAATGGCAACCTAGAAAAAGGGAAATGTGGAGTGTTTACTGTTTAGTATTTATAGTGTCTACTGACAGGCTGTTGTAGCATGAGATTCCTCCCCCTCCAAAAAAAAACCACACCCAAAAAAACAAACCAACATGCAAGTTTCTTAGACAGGAACTGTCTTGTACAGCATTGTCAGCACTCAATAGTTAGATAACCGCTGTGTACTTGAACTTCTGGAAGTAAACCCTGCTTCAGAAAAGTGAGCCCTTGCTTATGAAGTTCTGTGAAGAGAGCTTTTTGGGGGAAGGGGGGGGGGGAATCTTTCAAGCTACTAATCTTACATCAAGCCAATTTTAGATGTACATCAGACTAGCTTTTCTAGTAGCTTTAACAAGAGACCACACCAAGCCTTTCTAGTCATGTACTACAACATTTGTTACTGTGTAACCATTGTGACAGAAAGACCTGTTGAAAATGGAATTGTTTTGGCCAGGAACGTAAGTAATCAGCTTGGCAAGCTAATATGCCTATGTGCACACATATCCACTACAGTGGAACCTCAGAATTACGAACACCAGAGTTACGACTTGACTAGTCAACCACACACCTTATTTGGAACCGGAAGTACACAATCAGGCAGCAGCAGAGAACAAACAAAAAACCCACACAATGCAAATACAGTACCGTACTGAACATAAACTAAAAAAAAAAAGGAAAGTTTAAAAAAATTAGATAAGGTGAAGAAACTCTTCTGTGCTTGTTTCATTTAAATTAAGATGGTTAAAAGCAGCGGTTTTCTTCTGCATAAAGAAGTTTCCAAGCTGTATTAAGTCAATGTTCAGTTGTAAACTTTTGAAAGAACCACCATAATGTTAGGAACATTTCAAAGTTACCAACAACCTCCATTCCTGAAATGTTCATAACTCTGAGGGTCTACTGTATACACTTCTTTTCCACAGGTATCAGATAACAAGTGAATTTATATTGTTTCATAAACTGATGTTTTGAATTTATGTATGTTAGTCCACACACACCTTCCTGCCTTCAGTCAACTCAAACTTTGAAATGCAAACCCTCTAGACCCACTATTCTTAAGTGATTTTGCAGCAACTCTTCCCTCTCCACCCTCCCAAATGATAATGGAGATTCATAGATAGTAGTAGATATTGTTGATCTCACTACCCCACAACAAGTTGGGCCACTAATTCTACACTACCATTACCCAACAGAAACTGGTGGTTAACTTAGCTAATGTAATGCCATATAGCAGGGGTAGGTAACCTATGGCACATGTGCCAAAGGCAGCACGCAAGCTGATTTTCAGTGGCGCTCACACTGCCCCGGTCCTGGCCACCAGTCCAGGGGATCTGCATTTTAATTCAATTTTAAATGAAGCTTCTTAAGCATTTTAAAAACCTTAATTTACTTTACATACAATAGTTTTGTTATATATTCTAGACTTATGGAAAGAGACCTTCTAAAAACATTAAAATGTATTACTGACACACAAAACCTTAAATTAGAGTGAATAAA